CAATGCATGCAAAAATGCAACATTATTCAATCTAAATTCCAACTTTTGAAATTATTCTATAGGGACCATCATACTTACAGCAGAAAAATGATTACTCAGCAATTCAGCAAACGCCACATCAGCTCCCACATCCCGTGACATGCGAAGTGCTGCTGCAGTGAGAGCAGAGGCTGCTCCACGAAAATGCCAAGAAGGGATAACAGCCAGGTAGAGAGCGTGCACACAACGAGTGAAGTGGCTGGGCAGCATATCCCAAAACTGAAAAATGGATTAGAACTTCATGATTTCATTAGCCTAAAACTGTACGAACTTACATTTCCCGTAAGTTTGTGTGCAATGGTTTCAATAAGGAAAGTCTTTGGTGGAAGATCTGGATCGGGTCCAGAAGAATAGATAGGATTAGGTCTAGATTAGAAATTTTTAGTAGAAGTCTCTTAGCTTGATTATGGGTTTACCTGTCAACACACTGCAGCAAAGCAGCTCCGATAACTTCTCCATCGTATTCCATTATGAGCGAATACCCCTGCGGTAAATAATGAGGAAGAAAACCTTGAATCAGAATTAGAGATGTGGGAGGCTGGTTTCAACATTCTGACAATCATTTACTTACTATTAATGAAGCTAGATGCTTCGTCTTTTGTTACTTTTAGAGCTTTGGCAATGGGTTCAGTGTTGGTGTAAGCGTCAAGCATTATGTTGAAGAATACATCGTAGTCATCCATAGTTGCTCGGCGGTAGATGAAATTTGAAATGACAGCGGTGTTCATCCTGGATATCTATAAAGAGCAGAATGTAACAACCTAAGACTGCAGTTATTTTCCAAAGTTCATTCTGAAAACGACTTAAGAGAGCGTCCTTGTTATCATGAGTGAGGTTCTATAAGAGTACTGTGCTGATCTACGATGAAAAATAACTACATTTGAGTGAATGAGTTGCTAATGATAACTTGTGCTGTGATAAATATCAAGGAGGAGTGGCATATCAACAATGGCCTTTGATTCCTTTGAAGCGTACTAATTGGATCATCGTCGGAGATGACAAGCGATGAGAAAAATGATTCTCGCCAAGCTCAATTTTCTCAAGCTAAAGAAACGTCTTGCCAGCGTCAATAATCTTTGATTTTGATTTTTAGTGCTATTTTTTATTATAACTGAAAGAGAAGTTTGGTAGCTTCGTGGAGAGCTTGGAAGTCTTTCGCTACATTCAACGAATGGCATAATTTATCAGTGTTACATACGGGAAAAAAGCTGATATCAAAAATTTAGAGTATGCTAGTTTAAACTCTTTTAGACAATCAAATTAATGACAAGTGGAAGAAAAAAGAGAAAAAAAAACACATTAGATCTGACTATGACAATCATTTGAGAGGAATTTTGTCATTAAACTCTTTTGTTTCGTCATCTGACCCCTATGATTTTTCCTCTCATAATTTTTGGCTGAATAATGCTGTAAAACAATTTGAGATTCATGAGGGATTACCAACTTCAACACGGTACAACCAAGGATGTAATGTTTCAGATTGCAATTTCTGGCCTTAGTTTACAACAATACATATTGTGCCACCAGC